CTGCTCAGCCACAGCACTGCTTCCAGGGGTGCAGGGCATCCTCCTCGCTTGTGGGAGCCCAGCAGCTGATGCAAGAAGTTTATATTGCTCTGTTTTCTCTCCACGTGAGTTTTCTGACCAGTTCGTGCATGTTTGCATTCTCCAGGCTTGGAAAAAGTCTTCAGCAGGATGAGGCAGAGCAGAGCACTCAGGGTTCATTGCCGAGGATGTCGCCTGTGACTGTTGCATTTCGGCAACTAGAATTAGATATTTGATGGGTTAGAATGGCAGGGCTGTTCCTAAAAATGGGTGTAGTGTGGGTTGGAGGTTTTTAGGTTTATTTGTGGTTAATTTGGACTGTGACAGTGCCTGGCCTCTCTCCAGAGGGTTAACAGTGCCAGTGCAGGGGCCCTTCAGATGCCTTGGACAGCTGTGATTAGCTGTGCCCTGAGCAGTGAATGGTAGAGAAGATGTTATCAATGTCCACCTCAAAAATATGGTATTGTTGTAAGTCATGTGAAGTTCCTCAAGCTTACGGAAGTTAGATAAAAAGTTCATTTGACAGCAAGTTGTGTAGCACCAGTTTTGCAGATGCACATGAATCTGTTGCTGCTCATTGATTTTTGAGCATCTTAACAAAACTGGCTAGCACAAAGAACTTGAACCATATCAATGAACAAAGTGATGAAATCTAGGTCTAGTCCCTCAAACTGTTTCTCACAAGGGATGGAGTTCAAGCTGACCATCCCTATATGCCAGCAGTTTTCCCAAGCAGATTATTTTCTGAATATATTTTCACCAGGACTGACTCTACCTGTAGGGGAGGGAGATGCATGTGAATTTTACATATTCCTAAACTAGCACTTCAGGAAAGAGCTGAATTCAAGGAATTCAGGTAAGGAAAAAAATCCCAGCAAAATCCTATTCTAAAATGTGACTGTTTAAAAAAATCAGGCATGTTTCTTTACAGAGGCCTGAATACAAAAGCTGTGTGTTGTACAAGGGCTTGAGCTGAGCTTGCAAACAGCAGCTGCTGAAATGTGGGGAGCAGCCAGTGCACTTCACTGCTGTGATCAGACTGAACACACGTCTCTCTCTCCCGCACTTGCGATAATCAGAGGCCTTGTCAGCACACAGCTCTTGCTTCCTATGCCCTGTGCAGTCTCCACTCAACTAAACAGGGGTGCAAACAGTGGCAACCAATGTCAGCTCTTTGTTATCAGGCTGCTCTGGCACCAAGGGCTCATGGTAAGATTAGGCTTGGAAGAGCTGCAGTGGAGCAGTCTGCCCCATCTGAGAGACATTAGGAAGAAGTTAAGCTGTGCTTCTGTGGAGCTTTGGACCGTGCTGGAATCTCCTCTTGGGAGACATCGGTCTGGTGGGGTAATCTTGTTTCTGCTGACCTTCTCCTTGTGTTTGCCACCTCGTCTCCTCTCTTACTTGACAAAAAACCCTTTGGGACTGGAGCTCTAACCAGGTTGTGCTGTGTGGGGAGAGTGCCCTGCTACTGAGAGCAGATCCCTTTCCCAGCACACAGTGCTGCCTCCTGCCCACTCCTTGAATCAGCTCAGAGGTCTCCTCCTGCTCCTGCTGCTGTCTGGTCTGTGGAGGGTGCGGTGCCTGTTTCCTTTCCTTCCATGGGGTGTGAGCTGTCCATTTGACTGCACGTGAGGTTACATTTGAGATGGGTGTTTGCAGGGTGCATCTTCACTGCTGCTAAAATCCACCGGTGACTGGGGCTTTCCTCATCTGCTGGAAGCAGCTTTTTGGCCTGAAGCCAGAATTCCTTGATGGCTTTCTGTGAAAATTGTCTTGAGATGGGGCAGTTTCTGTGCTGTCTCCACAGACCCTCACAGCGTGCCTGGTGTGCCCTTGCGTGTAGGGTGGTAATGAGAGTCTCAATGTGCTGACTTTTCCAAACTATTGTTTGGAGACTGTAACCCAAGTTGCTGTTTCCTCATTAGAGTAGCCTTTGTCAGAGCATCTTTAATCAAGGGGCTCCCGAGAGACAGCATTTTTAGAACTTCCTTTTATACCTCCTCTTGGAAGTTCTTTGTGCTGCACCTTGTGAAGAAACTAATGAGATGCTGTGAGAGTTCGAGCTGCTGTTAATTAGGAGAGGTCTGAGGAAGAAGTACTGTACATATATTAACTTTATCTTAGCTCACGTCTCCTCTCTCCCTCTGTCTCTTTGCAGGTTGCACAAACAGCAGATGGCTTGGATGCTGACCTCTGGAAAGATGGCTTATTTAAATCCAAGGTCACACGGTACCTGTGCTTCACCAGATCATTTTCAAAAGAAAATGTAAGTCTGTTTGCTGAGTATCTGCATGATTTGCATCTGTGCCTGGTATGCTCTTACCCATAAGATGATTCATTTTATGGAGCCAATTATAATTCAAGCAGGCGCTTCGCTGAGTTTGGGTGAGTCAGGAGGCAAACTGCAATAGCAGGATATTTGCATTTTGTCTGTGTTCCTCATGGAAAGAAATTGCTGACAAAATCTGCAATAAAAGCAGCAGAAAAGGGAACGTTTGCATTTCAGCAGCCCCTCACACTCATGTTTCCTGCTGCAGCAGTGGGCACTGCACATTCATGGTCATGATGGATTTCTAACCCAAATTACCTTGAGAAACAAAACCTGGAGATAGTGTTGGTAAAGGAACTCCTGGGGCATCCCGGATATTTTCTTGCAGGATTAACTTGCTTTCTTTGTTGTTTTTGCTGCTGGTTCTTGAAAATGTGCCCACGTTGTGCATATGCTGCTATATTGTTTTAATCTGATGTGACTATTAAGTTTAAGTTATTTTGTGATTAGTGGCAGTTGTCTGCCCACACTTCTGTGGAGGAGAGGAGGCTGTGCGGGGGGGCCTGATGCATTCTGCTGTGGTTTTGGTTGAGGCTTGTGTGAAAACTTCCTCTTTTCTGGGGGAACTATTGACTTCTGCAATGAATGCACTCCATCTAGTGGGTAATCTTGCCTTTGGTCGTGGTTTGGATATTCACAGAGACTCAGTTGTCAGGAGCTGGAGGTACCATTTTGTACTTGTGCTTTCACCGCAGTGGGAAGAGAAAAGTGACGGCAGCTTCAGAGGCTGCTCATGGGTCCTGACAGGAGAGCCTGGGGCCACCAGTTCCCAGCATTTGACCTTTATTCCATCTGCTTCCCTGCCTGCCTCTAGATATCACTTCATGGAGTAGATGGACAATAATTGTGCTTTTCATTCTGGAGTACATGCAGTCACAGGAATAACAGCCCCAGAATAGGCAGGGAGGTTATTAAACAGAAAGGTTTCTGCTGATATGAATATTAGGTGTATCTGTGGCTACCTGAAATGTGATGTTGTCAGAAATAATTACAGGACAGTAGCAGCTGCTGGCTGCAGAGACAGTGTAAATATCCTCAGCTGGTGCCTTTTGGGCTTTTGGCAGGAACCCTGGGCTTGGTGTGATTTGAGACTACCTTCTTCATATTGATAAGGCATGAATTAAAGCAAGAGCTTCCCCGCCACTCAGCCCTCTCTGGCCACAGGGAATATCATATAGTGCCCTGTTGAAAACCTCTGAGGGTTAAAGGGCCTCGATTCCCTCATCCAGAAGGAGGGGAGGGGAGAGGCTCCTTCTCCTGTGGGCATTGATGGGTTGAAAGTTTTACGTTCAGGGTTTTTTTGTGTTTACCAAAACACTGGGAACTCTGAAGAACCAGGAACTGAAGAACATGTTGTAGTTAGCAGAGTTAATGCACCTCAGTTACCTGGGTTATGGCAGAGCCAGTCTGCAGTGTCTCTTTAGAAGAGTCATCATTCTCAACAGTTAACAATATCTGAGGATTATAAGGCTGTTGCTGTATTTGAGTGTCATGTTGAGGAGGTCCTGGGTGGTGGGTCTCACGAGCAGGGAGCTTTGTCCCCTTTTCTCCTGTGCACATGGCAGAGCATCAGTGCTTACTCCCAGATTTCCAGTAGCTAATGAACTCCTCGCAGGCACCTCTCCTACCTGTCTGCTGCCGATGGAAGAGTGATTGGTGGTTCAGCTGGAAGTTGCCACTGATGTAACACAGCCAGACAGCTTGGATAAATAAAACATGAAAGATGAATCAGCAGCAACCACTTCATCTGCCGTTTGCTGTGCCAGGACCACGTTAACTGACACATTCAGGCTTGGCAGCATCCAGCATTGCTTGCTCTGAGCTGCCCTGGCTGTGGAGGGTCAGAGGTGTGTGGGGCTGCCCGGCCTCGACCTCTTTACATGAGCAAAGGACGTGTGCCACACTCATGTCTGGTGGGACAGGGCTACAGATGTGCTGGCCCTCCTGCTGAGGAGTTGACCATAAAATGCAGGACCTCCAAAAAATAAACACAGACCCGATCTCCCCTTATTTCAGTGCCTGCAAATTTAAATATGTTTTTAAATAGTTCAGTGGAATAATCAGAGAGTGAGGTTTGCCTGAAAAACTCTGCCAGATAAAAACTAAAGGAGGTACTTAGCAGCCAGTAACAGTAAAACTCACTGATATGGTTTGATGGCTTGGGATGAAATTTTAGTTGTTCTGTATTGCATTTCTGTTTGTAAGGGCTGTGCAGTAACTAAAGTGTGTTCCTCTTCCATACGTGAACCCAGATTATTGGCAGCAGTGCTGGCTTTAATGAGAACTGCAAAAAAAATCTGATCTCTAAACCATTGTGGAGGCTGTCACTTTGAATTGTGCTCTGAGCTCTTCAAGCCTTGATTAATAGGATGAGGCATGAGTTCAGAATTCACATGGACTCCAAATGAAGTTCTTCATTCCAAATGGCCTGTGCTTCTGGAGCGTGCTGTTTGGAGCTAGAACCATGTCTGTTCAGTACTAATTAGCTAATGCACGTAATAACTTTGGCTGTGTCTGCATGAGCCATCGTCCTGTGATGCTTTCTGCTATTGCTGTTGTAGGTGTAGAGTGTCTAAGAACTGAGGTGACCTGCTCAGTGGATGAGTTGGTGGAGGTGGTACTTTGAACTGCAGTTTTCCAAGGCAGAGAATTTGGTTGTGCTTCCAAATATCTGGTAATATGGCAGTGGATGAAGTGTTAAAATCTTGAATGCTGAAAGTTGACTGGTATCTCCTACTCAATCGTTGTCTGGTTCCTTCAGAGGGGACCATTGCAAGGGTTGGCTTGGTACCTTCTTACCATTTTTAAAGTTGTGCTTGGACAAGGCATCTTGTGGTTCAGCAGGGGGGAAAAGCTGGGTTTGATTCTGGTGACCTTGTCATAATCACGTGTTTCTTTTCTCTCTCCGAAGAGTCATTTAGGCAACGTCTTGGTTGATATGAAGCTCATTGATATCAAGGACACTTTACCTGTGGGCTTCATTCCCATCCAGGAGACCATCGATACACGTGAGTTGATATCTGTTCTTGCCTCCTGTTCTGCCAGTGCCTGTGTGGTCAGGCAGAGGAGGACTGTGTCCCAGGCCATGGAGGGCTGTGTCCCAAGCAGAGGGTTGCTTTTGGCACTGCTGCTCTCTGGATTGACATATGCATGTGTGGGGGCAGCTCTGGGCTGCAGTGAAGCAGTTTGGTTTCCTTGGACTCCTCAAGCTGTTTAATGGGACTGCCTGGCTGTCTCCACTCGCCTGCTGGAGCCCCACAGCTTTGAGGCAGGAAAAGAAAGTTTATTTTTTCATTTTGAAGGGTGGACTGGGCCTAGCAGGAGCAGAGAGGTGTTCACAAATGCACTGAAAGGAAGGGGTTGTGCTTGTGGTGCTGTGTTCATGCACACCTGCTCTGCATCTCCCACCACGAACAAACGAGGGCCCACGTCCTGCCAGGTGGTGCTGAGGGGGTGAGATAGGTTTGTGCTTGCTGAGAGAAGGCACAAGTGCAGTGTTCAGGGGGAATGCCATTCTCATTTCTGCAAGGCAGAATCGTTTCACTGCAACAGTTAAGTGAGCAGTTCCCAAAGAGTGAGCTCAGCTCCACTGGGACTCGAGGCAGCGGCTGCTGGAGCTGTGTCTGGTGGCAGCCCTGTGCTCTGCAGTGGGCACCGAGGGTGTGGGGCTGGCAGGGGACGAGCCCTGTGGGAGCAGAGTGTGAGGGGATGGCAGGACACCAGCGCTGGTGCTCAGTGTGCAGCTGCTGATCACAGCAGGGCTGTCCTAGTGTGTGTCAGTGATGAAATCCAGCCTAGGAACGAGCAGAAAGGGGTTACATGAGCCTGCTTTGCAGGGAATTTGGGGCTCCACCATGTGAAGATGGTTTTTTAGTCGCTCCAATCTGGTTCTGATTGGAACCTGTCACCTGGAAGCGAAAGGCTCTGCAGCCCATTCCCCTGGGTCACTCCCTGCCCCTCGAGAATTCCTGGGCACATGTGGTGTGAGGTGGAGTTATTGGCTTATCCTGCTCACCCTTGGGAGTGCTGGGCCTTACTGCCTGCTGCTGCTGTTTCTGTGAAAGTCCTGGTGGAAGAGTGTAAGGGGGCTTTGTTACTAATTTGAAATGCATTGGGTTGTCACCCCACAGTCTGTAAAGCAGAGGCACTGCCTGTACTAAGGAAGCAGTGCATATCTCTGCCTCTGTTGGCATGAATGAACACACTTCGATTGACTGTTTATAATAGGTTTACTTAAAATTAACTCTGGCTAAGCATGTGTAACTACTGAATCCAGCTCCTAAACCACATTTGCTGGAGACTGCAGACTCCAGCCAAGTGTGAAAGAGACCACAGACAAAAGCAAATACTCAGCTTTGTACTTGTGGAGAAAGTCAAATAAGAGGCACTGATTTTGTTCAGAGTTAGATTTGAAGTTACAGGTGTCTCTGTGTTCCTCTCAAAGTGGCAGCTGACTTGCAGTAAGTATATTTCATACAGTACTCCTTACTAGGTCCTGAGAAAATTTTCAGGTGCGGGAACCTTAAACCCTAGGCTCCTAAAATCAGTTTTAGGCGCTTCAAACAGATGCCCTAGTTTTTCAAATCAGGGTAAGAACTAAACTTCAGAGATGCAGGTATTTACCATCTCTAAAAGCAGCGCTGTAACTGCAAGCTGCATGCACAGATGCTGTATTGGCACACCTCACACTGTCTGTACGGTTGGTGATGCTGATGCAGTGGCAGGTTCCAGGGGCTGGGATGGATTGCTGTTCTCCCAAGGTATGGATTACAAAACAGGAGGAGCCTACAGAGTCAGGGCTGCTTGCCATCTGTTGAAGTGAGAGCATTATTTTAAGTTAGAAGATATTCATTCATATTAAGCTGAAGGGGTTTTATTTTGCAGGCATTTGTTTGTAGTTGCTGGTTGTTTCCAGATTTTCATTCAGCATCTGCTCTTTAGATTTTCAGTTTATCAGTAGACTTGTGTCCTGCCTTCCAAGTGCCTGCATCCAAACAGGAACCTTATTTTGGTCACCCTGAGCCTCCTTAGGGTGAGATGGAGCAATGGTTTCCAAGCACTGCGAATCTGTCTCTGTGTGCCAGTGCCACCTGTGGTCACAGACTGCCCCAGAGCTGGCTGTGCATTGTGTCTGCATGCAGACAGACAGCCTGCAGATATGTGAATTCATTATACAGATAAGCCTTAACTTTGAGTTGAGTTTTACGTGATGGATAACATGGAAGCAAGTGGAATTGCTCCGTGACACATAACAGAAAGGGCTGTGCAGCAGGTTCACCCCCAGAGCACAGGTCAGAGCAGCACAGCTGCCTCACTGGAGGTCTTGGCAGTTTTGCCTTGTGATTCTGGTTTGTCCCTATGAAGAACCAAGGCAAACACTGTGGGAGTATTATTTCCATGCCTGCTGACTGCATGAGGAGATGTCACTAACACTTGGGATGTGTGAGGTTTGGGCAGACAGCTCTTACCCTCGACCTGTCTGCACAGTGGGCTCTGCCTGCCCCTCCTCTTGGTGGAGGTGACTGGTTGGAAGCAATTGGCAGAATGAACTGACCAGTTGTGCTTCCAGGTACATTCCTAGAGGTGATGCTTGTGAGAGAAATGTATAGATACATCTGTCCAGGCCAGTGAGGCAAACATTACCTGGGAAGGAGCAGGGAGTGTGAGAGGTGTGTGGCACTGGCAGAGTCAGCTCCATTCGTCACTGTGTGGCAGCACTGGGCACACATGGGGCTGATTTCTGCGGAGGGCAGGAGGAGATCTGGTTATTGTGGTGCCCATAACACATCTCCTGATGAAACGTTCCTCACTGAATGGCACTGCACTGACTGGTTTGCTGACATGTTTGTTCTTTGGCACCAGTTTTTGCCATGATTATCTGCCTAATATGTGGAGAGACAATAAATAACGTTATACCCTAATCTTGCATAAAACACACCCTGTGTTCTGCATTGTTTTTCCAGAAGAAATAGCTTTCAGAAAGAAGAGGCTGTGCATTAAATTCATCCCTCGAGATTCTACAGAGGCAGCCATCTGTGATATCCGAATCCTGGGAAGATCTAAACAGGCCCCTCCTCAGTACACATTCATAGGGTGAGTAACCCTCACTCCAAAGCTGTTGTTGTAAATTCAGTTGTACCAAGGCAACGCACCCTGTGTTCCTGTAGTTACTGAGTAGTAGTTTGTAAGAGCTGAAACTTGTTAGAAAAGTCCAAGTAAGTACAAGTGTTGCTGGGTTTAATGTAGGAATTAATTCATTCTCTTTTTTCAGTTAGACTGGCTCTCACTGACTAAGGTGTTCGTGAAACACGTCAGTGCTTGATGCTCATGCATATGTGCAGCATTTGTTTGTAGCACTGATGCCTTCTGTGCTGATTACCCAGGGAGTTGAACAGCATGGGCATTTGGTACCGGATGGGCAGAGTGCCACGCAACCACGACCCCGCACAGCCTGCGGCTCCTCCTGCCCCAGCACCGGCTTCAGCCCCTGCTCCCAACCTGCCCAGGTAGGTTTTCTGCTTTCCAGCCATTTCTGCTTGATGCTGCGTGGTGTGTGGTTACTAACCTTGCCTGAGAAACCAAGACCAGGGTACTGCATTCTTATGGAATGATTGTGGCACGATGAGGGAATGTGCTGTTGTTGAAGTATTTGCCTGCTGGAAGTTCCTTTGTCTGTCATTGTGTAAAGACATGTGGATGAAGAAGCTAGAAGAAAAAAAAGGCCTGCAGAGGAAGGGAAACAGCAAACTGCACCTTTCCTTTGCTTCAAACTATGCAGGATGTTGTGGTTTCCAACATGTACCTGTGGGCCAACCCGTGAGAGTGGGCCAGAGCTGCAGCCAGGCCGATTGCTCTCCTTGAGCAGAGGGAGGGAGAAGCAATCATACAGACTCTATTAGGGAAACAAGTTTTACACATCTCCGGGATCAGTCCACTCATGGTTTGAAGTACTGGCTCTTGGATTTTTATTTTCTTGGACCCGACTGCTGAGCTGCAGTCGTGCAGCTGACACGAGCCCCGCTCATCGTGTGGTGACTGATGGGAGCAGCACTGCTGGGCAGGGGCTGGCACAGTTCTGTCCGGGCTGTTCTCCCTGTGTTATGGACAGTGTTTGTGTGTGTGTATGAACCAATGTGCTGGTGTGTATATTTGTCAATAGTCTTGTATTGACAGCTTACTTGCTGGATTTCTCCGGGCAAAACTGAGTGGTGTTGAGCCACAAACCATCCCAGACAGAGGTTAAACTGAGCACTTTGCACTCCTGGCATTCATTCACTGTGAAAGCACAGCACCCAGTGTGAGGCAGGGTCCTGCTGCTGAGGCTCATGGACTGAGTGGGGCCAGACCATTGTTGGGGACAGCGTGGAGAACACGGTCCCTTTGGGCTTTTGCCTCGTTAGATGAATATGTATTTTTGCACTGGGCATTTGATGCACTGCAGGTACCTTTACAGTGTTACAGGAACTATTGAGGGCTACAATTTTGGAAGAGACGAGAGAAATTCCAGGGGAATCAAAGGTCATTGTATCACATGGGTGGAAATTACTCACGTCCTTTGGAGTCTTGATTTACAGATCATTTCAGAGTCATGCTTTTAAACTGCTGTAAAATGCTCCCCAAAAAGGTATCAGGTGTCTTTTTAAGGCAGGTGTGTACACTTGAGACATTTTTCTAAAGTTCTACTGGACACAAGCTAGAGGCCAGCCCAGGCCATGTGAGATCAGAGAGAAAGATGTCTTGATTTTAAAGCATAGATCTTCTTTTTCTGTCCCCAAGAAATTCCTGTCTGGGCAGATTTCCACAATAAAAAAAAAAAATTAACATAACAAGAGAATGTCAATGGCAGTGCTTAGTCACTGAGTGCAGAAGGGTCACTTTATGGCTGAGCAGGGAAGGCTGCAGAACAGAGTCAGAGCTGTTGGAAACAGGGCCAAAATTAGAGCTCAGAGCATCAGTGACAGTCTGAAGTGTTTACAAGGCTTATATATTTTATAACCTCTTGTTGTACAGTTTATGGTTTACAATGGCTCCAAGGAAATTGGATCAGTTTTGTTTTACTTGCCAAATAAAGCAAATGTCAAAATAGTCAATATAAAATGTATTCTAATTTGGCTGAGTTAAACCAGCCAGTGTGCAGTGGAATAATTGAATGTTGCATTAATGCTTCCTAGTAAAACCCACCTATCTGTAGCCAGCTCCACTCTCACACCCTGTGTGTGATTTACAGGTAACTTTTACACCACCAGCCTGATCATTCAAAGCATCTTTCATGTCTGGTTTTTTTACTCTGATTATTTATTATCCAATATATTTTTTAAGAAATATAAATGTATATAAAGGTGCATCCTGCAAATATTTCATTATTACAGGGAACACAGACTACTTGAAAGCCTCTTTTAATACTTTATCAGCAATGTGGTGAGTTGCTCAACACAGTGTTTGAGAAAGACTGTAGTCACAAGTAACCTCTTATTTTTACCTCACCATAGAGAGAGGAGCTGACACTGGCAGCCAGTTTGCTGATATATTCCATGTGGATATATCCTGACAGGAACAGCAGTGAGTTGTTCTGAAGCTGCCTCAGTGCTGAGGGAGAACTGGTGAGCAGTGCCACATGGAGCGCTGTGGAGAGTCTGATGTTGGGATGGTAACATATCTCAGCTGCTTTCCTCAGTTGCTGTCTGGCATTATAGAATAATTCTAAATTAAGATGGTATGCCTGGGTGGTTCAGAACAATTGGTAATGCTGCATATAAGCTAAACCAGTAAAACACACCAGTGTTCTGCACAACATAACCTTCTAACACGGAAGAACTTTTTACTGTGGGAGATGTTTATTTCTGCACCAGCCCCTGTGATCTGTGGTACAAGGTGCTGATGGCAGTGGATGGCAGAACATCAGAGTCTGGTCATGTGTCAGAGGTGTGACCTGCACAGCTTGCTGCACGTCAGCAGTGCTGCTTCTGCTGCTCCTGTCACGGGGTTATGGCTCACAGTCAGGGCTGCACAAGGAGAGGCTTTGTTTGAGAGTCGTGCAGGACTGCATGTGGTATTTTTCAGCCACTTCTTCTCCTTGGTGTTTTCTACTGCGGGCACTTGGCTTAATGGCCTCTGAGGGCAGCCCTGGCACATCCTGGTGAGGGTGGCATGCTGTGCTGTGGAGCACGGCCATGCCATTGTGCAGGCATCAAGCTGCTTTCCTTCTTTTCTCTTCAAATCCTGCGACAGCTTCTTGGCACTAATGGCAGTCTGGAGAAATGCACTTGCAGTTTCCTGTCCTGCTGCTGAAGGGTGGCTTTTGTAGGCTTGAGTCACACAAGGGAGTTGGATGTAATTTCCCTCAGTACCTCTGCTCTGTGCACGAGGCTTGTGCTGCATGGGAGCATCGCTCTGGGGAGCAGGAGGGTAATCCTCCCCCAGAGGAGGTGCTGGTAACAGCTGACTCACCTGGCCCTTGGCACACTGTTGCTTCACCCAGCCTGTGCATCGAAGGTTGCCAGTGCCTGGGTGGGGACTTGAAGAACAGCACATGTCACAAGTGTTTGAGCAGCGTCTCTGGCCTCAGCCCTGCCATACCTCAGGCTCTGTTGGAGTAGGCTGGAGCAGGATTTGTGGGTGAGTTCTCCTCTTCAAGTCCAGGTCCAGCATTTTGGGAGCAACCTCAAACAGTTTTGCTTTGCAGCTGCCTGTGCAGTGGCTTCATCCCGGCTGTGGTGCTCTGAGCACTGGGTGGCTTCTGTGGCTCGGGAGCAGATTCCTTCAGGAACCTCTGCCACTGTCACTCAAACAGCCCACTCTCAGTTAGTCAGCTGCAAGCAAGATGTCAGCCAGTGCTGCCGGAGTGTGTTTTACAGTGACAGACATAATTGCACTTAACTTTTTGCGTGGATGTTATCAATCTGTGATGGATACTTTGGGAAATGGAGCACTCTGATTGCAGATGATGTGTCACAGGTGTTTAATCTCCCTCTTGGAGAGACTTGGGATTCAGTCACAACTTTTTATTTGTAGATGTCAGGTTTTGAAAATGTAGATTTGCGCTGACCCTGAGAGTGATTCAGTCATTTGGTTTGTGAGGCTGTCATCCAAAAGGTTAATGGCTTACCAGGGAGAGGAGAGGGAAGATCTGGCTGCAATCTCCTTGCATTCCTCTCGTGTGCTAGCACAGCCGTTGGTGTGCCTGTTCAGAAGGGCAGAGCTCCTTCCCAGGATGCCTGTGCAGCAGGTGTTCCAGGCTGGAGGGAGCTGCAGGCGGGTGCTGGTCCCACAGCAACTCCTGTGGGGCCGCAGGGACCCGTGCTGGCCTGTCCAGGGGAGATGGTGGTTCCTCTGGGCTCTGCCCCAGTCCAGGCAGCCTCTCCCTGCTCCTGCCTCCTCCTGCAGCCCGGGCCCAGCGTGCAGCCACTGTGCTTTGGCTTGTGCCTGACCCCTGGGGCTGAAAACCCACAGAAACAGCTCGTTTGTGCTGCAGCTCAGCCCTGGCAGCTCTGGGTCCCTCCTTCCCTCCCTGCCTGGAGCAGATCTGTCTGTGCCACCCAGTGCTCAGGTCTTCAAACACTGCTCTGGCAGAGCACTGCACCAGGGAAGTGCCACTTTGGCTTTGATTAGTACATAGCCATTGCCCTACTTAAATCCCTGGAATAAGAGCAAGATGTGTGAATTTTCCTCCTGAGCTCCCAGCTACCTTTTCATTAGTTAAACTGCCCCTCCTTAGAAAAAGGAAAAGATTTGCTGCTGTTCTCTGCTCCCAGTAGAGCTTCATGTTGAGGAATGTAAAAATTTCCTTGCTAGGCAGAGAAGTCTGATTTTTCAAATTGATTTATTAAGGGTGTTTGAAGTTGGTGGTGTAAGCTTGGGAAGGGATCAGTGTGTGGCTTTCTGCTGCAGGCTGATGATGTGCAGTTGTGGCAGGTCATAAAAGCAGCCCCAAGGAGCCGGTGAGAGGACTGGAGCTGGGGCTGGGATGAGCTGGGGCTGGGATGCCCCAGCCTGACTGTGCAATGGAGTAGTGGAAGGGAAGTGGGAAGTCTTCTGCCTTCCCTATTTTTTAAGTAGCTACCCTATTATTTAGAAATAACTATATTAATTTTTTCTTTAAGGCATTTAAAATAGATTTTTATGAAGAGTCCATAAGGGAAAAGGTTCCAGGGTTTCAGTGCTTTTCTGCTCTGGTGTAGAAAGAAGCCAAGACTTGAGAAAGCTGCCATGGCCCGGGGGCAGCCACTGTCAGTGGCCTGAGGGCCAGGATGCTTCCACAGAGCCATGGGGATCTGCCTTAAATCCCTCGTCTGAACCAAATGCTGCTAGATAAAGAGTAGTTTGGGATGGATGTTTCTGGTGTAACTAGAAACTGCTCTGAGAAACACTGTGAGTGGGGTCCTTTCTGCAAAGCGCTGCCTTGATGGAGTTGTGTTTTCTAATCTGGAGAGCTCTAAAGTACAACCACCTTCTGACTTGCAGCTAGTCATAGAATCTTTTGCGTTGGAAAAGACCTATAAGATCAAGT